GTTGTTACCTTCATCCTGGGAGTCTGTGACCGACATAATGACAACATCATGCTAACAAACACTGGCCATATGTTCCATATTGATTTTGGAAAATTTTTAGGTCATGCACAAAAATTTGGAAGCATTAAAAGGTTGGTCCCTATAATAAGATTACTTATAAAGTTTAAAGTAGTTCCAGTGATTATTATAAATGCTCATGAGCACTGCAAAGAAGTCCATGCCTTGTTTGTCTCCTGAAACCTTTGCAGTGCCATACACAGCAATTTTAACACTATTATCAAGATGAATGGCTGAGGTATGAAAACTTTCTTTTAAGTCAGTGGTTTGAATCTGATGCACCTTAGCACTGGCCAAAATCAGTTACCATCTAGTGTCTGGATTATGTTGAAGAAGTTTCTTTGTTGCAGTTCTGTTTCCAGTAGACAGGCAGTATATGACAAATCCAGACCAGAGCTGGCTATAATTGATTTCCTATTGTCACATTCAACATAGAGGCCAAACGCTTTAAATGTGTGTGAAGAATCAATATGCTGTCACATGTAGGGTGAAACTATGGTTATGGTCATGGGCCTTTTGCCACTATGAGCTGTGTTATACCTTACACTGTGAGCCACACAAATGTTGATTGGTGTTAGCACTAGTTTCAGTTTGGAGCAGTCACACTTCAGGCCAGCAGGGGCCTGGAGGACTGAAAGGTAAGAATCCCCACACTCCACCCCCTCACCCCATCCTGGGCTTCCTCTCCTGTTCCCAGGACTCCACCAGTCCTGTCACCCCCACTCAAGGGCTCATTTCCTGCCCCTCAGGGTTCCTCCTGTCTCCTGCTTCCCCCTGCCCCTGGGGGGAACCACTTACTTGTGGCTGCCCCTGCTATCTGTCCCAAGGAAGGAGGCAGGGAAGAATTAATCTGCCTGCCCAGCTCCTGCTGGGCTGGTCTTCTGGCCCAGAGAGCAGCAGTAGTGGCAATGGCCAGGCAGGCAGTTTAACACTTCCATGCCTGCTTCCCCAGGATAAATAGTGCAGTAGCCCTGATCTGGACCAAGGAGGGTGGGTGGGTTGTTCACACTAAGGTGTAGCCTAAAGTGGCTACGCCCTAATATAACATGATCTGGTAACACAGAACAAAGATAATCCTGCCCTAGAGTAATGTGACTTTGAGCCACATAATACTTACATAAATTCAATTTAAGGTGTTAATGTGAGGACAATCAATGGGTTAGCTGCAATTAATATTTGCAGTGTAAACCCAAACTCCATTAAAGTACTGAGATATAATGTAGAAACTGCCATGGCCTTTACCCATATTATAAAGATTCTGCAGTTATATATGAAGTGCATCCCCTGTTCTGGCTCTTTTATTGGTGATTTCACTATGAAGAAAGAAATTAGAATGAAATTCTGATAACTGCAGTTTGCTTAGACATTTCAATAGACCTTTGTAGCAATGTGTACAGTTGCTACGCATCTCCTCTGAGTAATGTGGGGAGTCCTCCTTTCATCTTTCCTAATGATTTACCTGAACTGGCCCCAGAATGGGTTGGCTTGAATTAATCATTCCTTTTTTCATTTTGGTTTTCATTTGACTATTTTAGACTATCTCTGCATGTTAGACTGAAATAAGATTGTGGGCGTATGGATGTGAAGGAGCCTGACGTGGTTAATAAATAGTTCTGAGCCATGCAGTCAAAAGATTTAGTTGCAGTGTTCAGAATTAGTGTCAGCCTTTCCAGATATGCTCTCTTAATTTCCCTTATTTACTATGGAAAGAATTACGCACAGCAGAATCACAAAGAGATATGCATGCACCCACTGAGTCATGTGCTGGGGCTCTCACTTGGCAAAGCTCCTATTGGAATCAGTCCAGAGTTCCCTTAAATGATAATTTTGCGAGGGCAAAAAATGATTTAATAGGAGAGAGGGAAATTTGGTCAGCTGAATGTAGTAGGACATATAACACCCAAAGGTTAGGCAAGAATGCTATAGTAATAATTGACATTATTAATAATGGAATTATATTATACATTTGTATTTAATCTAAAAAGCTATTTAAAAATTGTATTTTAATTAAATACAGGCATTTTGTTTCATATAGCTTGTTGCTTTTTTAATTTTTAAAAAAATTTCTTACACCCTTAAACTACTCCTTCTGGTTAATTCATGCTTCTGCATGAGGAATAGGATTAATATATTTTCTGTTGGCTGCAAACACTAGGAACCAATGTGCTTCCTGCGCAGCCCCACAAAGTAGGGTTAAGATAAATGGCTGTAGTACACATGAGAATTGTGTGTCTTTCATCAAATGTATATTGCAGATATACATGCACTGAGACACAGATTTCAGATTTCCATTGCCCACAGAGCTCAAACTTTCATAAGCATTGAAATTTTCCATTCTATTTTTGTCCATCCATTCTTTTACAATACACAGAGCAAATTTTGGGAAAGTATTAGTCTGTTTTAATGACCATTTACTAGGATTTTAGCTCAGTTCTCCAAAACTTATTTGCCTTTTAACCATGATCTTATAGTAATAATTTCATTACTAAAGTAATGTCAGTAAAAATAGCAACAAAACTTCTGAAACCTCAGTGGTGTTTGTGCTGAATTTGGGTTTTGCCATACAATAGAACTAATATGTGTTGCAGTGGAGTACCTTGAGGCAACTTTAAAAAATCAGTAGCATCAGCATCTCATAATGGAAACCCTTGCTCATACAAGTAATAAAGACATCAGAGATTCTTTCACATTTTTAATTAAAATACTTATGTGAAAGCTTTTCAGGAAAAGAAGTCCCCTCTTTGTGATGATTACAGCACCATGCTGTCTCTCTCTCTTTTTCCCCCATGAGTTAAGGAAAGTGACTTGCTTACTACAGATCTAAATGCCCATGGTGCATTCTCAAAAGCTGGAGCTTGGAAGTAGCAAACACTGGTCCCTCATAAAGTATCATAAGGAAATGCTTTCTAAAGTATTCTGCATTCTACTGTAAGTTAACTGAAAGAATATAGTCACCTGAAGAATTAAGGGCAGCAAATTCTTCCAGCCTATCTAATATAATTCTGAAAAGGAGCTCTTGAAGGTGAGCTGATTCAGGTAACCCAAAACATTTTAGAAAAACACTAGTTTCCACCATTAAATAACATGCAAAGACTGAGCATAGAACAATATGCAAGAATTGGGTCGCCTAAATGATCCAGTTCACTATCCCCACTGAGGGCGTGGACAGAAGTAACAAACTAAATGTTTCAAATGCCTTTGAAACATTTCAAAGGGCCAGCTCTACACCACACATGCCCATTAATATCTTCCAAAACCAGGTGAAGCCCTCCAAAAGAGTACCTCTTTACATGATGTACCATTCTAAAGCTTTTAAGTTCTTGTTATCATTATTATTGTTGACATTGGTGATCCCTCATGGTTGGGGATGATCACTCCCACAGCTCAAGTAAACAGTTGTAGATGAGTCCATTGAAGGCTAAGAAGGCTGATCCCAGAGCCACAGACTCTTTGGCAGATGCCACAAATGGTGGTTAAAGGAGGGGTCGAACCACAGTTTTCTCAGTCTTGTTTCCTTTCCTTCCATTTCTGTCATTTTTCTGGCTCCAGAGTAAGACAGTTTTCCTCCGTGTAGCCCTGTCCTGGGCTAGTTTTTCTCAGTTTGTGATGTCAATGCCACGTCTCTTAATGTTTGGCTGGAGGGTGTCCTTGAAGCATTTTCGCTGAGCCCCACATGTCTTTTGTCCTTGGGACCAGTGGGAGAAGCCTGCACATGATTTGTTTTACATGAGGGAGGCCGTTGTGCATTGGCAACCACACAGATCTTGGCAGAGGAGAAACCTGTGACCAGAAGATCTAAGACAACTGGGGCCGCTATATTTCCATTTTGAAAAGTTTCCAATACATTTCACTGGGAAATGTTTCAGAAATTACTTCTGTCTTCATTGTGAATCTCTACCATTTTTAGTCAATCCTGCTCTTGCGAAAACTAATAGTAAAGTTCCCATTGACTTTAGTGGTCATTGGATCCAGGAGTTGATCCTCAAAGGGCCATGCACACACATAGGGCAGCATAAGGATTTAATTATAATAATATCCTACTTCTAGCAGTGTTCAAAATAAGGGTTAGAAGTTGATATACAATTAGTCAATAGTATAACACTGTTCTTGAGAAGAAAATCATTTCCTGATCCCAGAGCACTCTTAGATAATGAAACATGAGTAGAGCCCTACCAAATTCATGGTGGAAGTGGGCTGTGCTGGGCTCCTTTGATCTTGCAGTTTCCCCTGCATGCCTCCCCATGGCAGCAGGGGAGAATCTTCCCTTTTCCATAAAAATCTATGTGCTGATGAAGAAAAAACATTGGTGTAGGGGTCCCCCTTGCAGCTCACTCCTGATCATCAGTGAGGCAAAAACTGCAGTTTTCAATACGGTGCTATTTTTGTCTCTCACTGCTGATTGGCCAAGAGACCTCAGTGGCCCCAGTGCTTGCTGCTGATCAGTGGGGGACAATAACAGCACCGTGTTTAAAGCTGTGGTTTTCACTTCCCTGCTGATCAGGAGCAAGCCACAAGCAAAGCTCCTCCAAACAGCAGCAGGTGAGGGGAGCTGTGTGGGAACCTGAAAGATTAAAGGAGCCACTGCACAGCTCACTTCCACTCTGAATTCAGTAGGGACCTAAACATGAGATTTCATTTTCTTATTTTTATATCTTAAGAAGCAACACACTTTGCTAGGTAAAGTATATAACTTCCTTTAATTCTTTAATTCAATCTGTGTTGCTCTATAACAATGAATTGCAGCAATGGACTCCAGGCTGTGTTAAGAAATGTTTTTCCCTTATTCATTCAAAATATCCTGTCCTTTCATGATTTCATTTTGAGTAAGTAGTGTATTCCCTAACCTTCAGACAACACTTCCACTGATTTCATAAATAAGCATGCAGGAGTTGAGGCAGTGGTTGACAAGTGTAAGAACAAGGGCTGAATTCTGCCTCTCTGTTCCATACATTTTTTTTCTTTTCTAGCTAGTTTTCTCCATGAACTCTTCTCCTTTTGTGAGTTATGCAGTAAAGGATTTGTTTAAACTATGTTTCACTGCAAAATCTCTCTGCCTTTAAACATGGATAAAGGA